AAATCTAGGGGGTACTCCAGGACCAGGGTTGAGATTGAGAACCTGTGTTCTACAATGAATAAATCTTCACCTAAGCAGTTGAACAAACGTAGGTTGTGACTATATCTTTATTACCATCTTCTTCCAGATCAAACAGCAAATCAAAGAGATCATAAAGAAATCAAAGTGTCTTTTCTCCACATTGTAGACCCTTAGATGTTACAGACCCTGAATAATGTAGAAGATACTAAGAAAGCTCCTCAAAATCTTACATCACTGCCTCATCTTCTCTGCCTTCCCCACACTTCTCTTATCATTTTTTGAACTGTCCTTGTATGAGTGCAAGGAAGCAAGAATCTATAAATGATGAAGAGGCAGATAACAATAAGCTGGAGAAAAGACTGAATGACTTATGAGATAAAATGACATGATTTTTACAAAGAAGACACAATTCTTTAAGACAGCTAATGTGCATGTGATTGTCATGACTCAGACCATCTGCAATAATAAAAGTAAGGACAACAACTGATTAGGACAAACTGATCAGAATTAAAATTGCTTTTGTGACCACTACAGGTTACTACGCGTACTTGGTAATGCTTTTTGGCCTTTCTGTTGCCCCTTCCGTTTTCCAAGCTTGCATTAACAACGTTCTATTGGACAAGATAGGGAAATTCTCTATAACACATAATGATGACATACTCATTTACTCCCCTGACTTTAAGATTCACATAAAACATGTTTGTTCTGTCCTAGAAACGCTTCTAGAAAACAATCTGTTTGTAAAAGTTCCATTTGCAGTCGGTAGCTTTTTTGGGATATGTCACTAGCTCCGATGGGGTGGTGATGGATGACCAAAAAGTAGAAGCAGTGGTGAATTGGCCTACTCCTACATCTGTGGAAGAGCTACAAAGATTCCTTGGGTTTGCAAATTTTTATTGATTGGTTTTATCCTAAATTTTAGTAGTATCGCTGTCCCTCTGACCACATTACTGAGGGGTAATCCAAGAAAATTGACCTGGACCGAGCAGGTTGAGGAAACTTTTCTAAAATTGAGAGAAGCATTAACTACTGCCCCTATTTTAAAACACCCAGATCTCTCAAAAACATTTATAGTAGAAGTAGATGTTTCAGAAACTGGAATCAGGGCCGTGCTTTCTCAAAGATCTGGTAACCCACCAAAACTTTGACCAGTGGCCTTTTATTCCCACCTGCTCACACCTACAGCAAGAAATTATGGGATAGGAGACCGTGAGTTGCTGGAGGTTAAGATAGCCCTAGAGGAATGGAGGCATTGGTTAGAGGGTGCTAATCACGCTTTTGTTGTACTCACAGACGATAACAATCTAGAATATTTGCGCAATGCTAAATGCCTTAAAGCTTGCCAAGCTAGATGGTCTCTTCTTTTCTATATTTCAGTTCAGTATTACTTATCGCCCTGGATCTGGAAATACTAAAGCCAATGCACTTTCTAGAATGTATCATGAAGACACATTAGAGACAGATCAGTCAGAGAATAAATCCATTCTTCCTCCTCATGTGAACATAGCATCTATGTGTTGGGAGATTGATGATGGCGAGATTGAAAGGGCATTAGAAAATTGTCAGGTACCCAGTCAGTGTCCCCCCGAAAAGCTGTATGTCCCAAGCCAGTTCCGCAATGGACTCATTACATGGGCACATTCCTCTCTCACCTCAGGTCACCCCGAGGAAACACACACTCAGCAGTTATTGCCCAACTGCTATTGGTGGGAAAGCATGAATAAGGACGTTCATTCATTTGTATCTTCCTGCTCTACATGTTCCCAGTGTAAAACTCCCAAGACGTTGCCTGCTGGTAAACTCATTCCTTTGCCTGTGCCTGTCAACCCTGGTCCCACATAGTAATAGACTTCATCACCGATCTCCCTGAATCTCAATGGTTTACCACCATCCTCAATGTGGTTGATAGATTTCCATCAACTCAACTACAGGACTAACCCCTTTCCAGTGCATTCTGGGATATCAACCTCTTACAGCACCTTGGACAGGCGTGACAACGGATGTTCCAGCAGTCGTCACCTGGATGAGAAAGAGCGAGAAGGTCTGGAAGGAGACATATCAGAGAATCGATGTTGCATCGCCACTGTGGAATTACCCCTGTTTACCAACCCAGAGATCACGTGTGGCTGTCAACTAGAGACTTCAGAGCCATTGAGGGAAGTAGAAAGCTTCAACCTAAGCACATTGGTCCATTTAAGGTGCTTGAAATAATAAATGAGGTGACATACAAGCTTGATTTACGCCCCCCAACCCCTGTTTTTGAGTCTCATGCTCATTTCATGTTTCTTTGTTAAAACCTGACATTTCAGGGCCTTTGGACAAGGCTACACTGGACGTCACCACAACCCCCACCAGGGGAGATAGACAGAGAGCGCATTTATGCTGTCCATCGGTCACTGGATTCCCAGGGATGTGGAGAAGAGCTCCAGTACATCATTTCTGTTACCTGTCATTGTCTGCTGTCACCAGGTTTCTCTTGTTGTTTCAGCCCTTGTAGATTCTGGCGCAGAGGGAAACTTCATTCAGTCTCATCTGGCAGAACAACTACAGATTCCTGTGGAGGCCCTAAACACCCCATTGCGTATAGCAGCCCTGGGTGGACGTCCTGTAGGGGCTGAATCTATTGCTACAAAGACTGAACTGAACTGGTGCATCTGGAGACCAGCACTCTTCAAAGTGAACTCTCCTTTTTTAAAATGGCTACATCAGCAAGTGACTGGCTACATCAGCAAGTGCACTGATGATGTTACTGTCTCCAAACTCATCACTACACACCCCAACCAGAAGCCATGGATGACTGCAGAGGTGCGCATGCTGCTGAGAACCCACGACAAGGCTTTCAAGTCAGGGGGTAAGGCAAGCCTCAGGATAGTGAGAGCCAAGCTTTCCTGGGCCATCAGAGAGGCAAAGCGCACCTACTCAAAGAAAATCCATGAACATTTTCAAGACACTGCTGACACACTGCGCATGTGGCAGGGCATCCAGGCCATCACCAACTACAAGACACCTCCACCTGCTTGTGACAATGATGCCTCCCGTCCAGATGCGCTGAATAACTTCTGTGCTCGGTTTGAAGCAAAGAACACCACAATGGTGAGTAAAACCACACCCCCTCCAGATGAACAGGTACTGTTTCTATCCACAGCTGATGTGCGGAGAACTCTACACAGATTCAACCCATGAAAAGCCCCAGGATCTGACAGCATACCGGGCAGAGTGCTCAGAGAATGCACTGAACAGGCTGTTGTTCGCACGGACATGTTCAACATCTCTCTGAGCACTGCTGTCGTTCCAATATGCTTCAAGTCCACCACCATCATCCCTGTGCCCCTCAGGGCTGTATGCTTAATCCACTACTGTTCACTCTGCTGACTCATGACTGTACTGCAAAGTACAGCTCAAACCACATCATCAACATAGCAGTTCCACGATGGACTCATTACATGGGCACATTCCTCTTTCACCTCAGGTCACCCCTGGGAAACACACACTCAGCAGTTATTGGCCAACTGTTATTGGTGGGAGAGCATGAATAAGGACGTTCATTCATTTGTATCCTCCTGCTCTACATGTTGCCAGTGTAATACTCCCAAGACATTGCCTGCTGATAAACTCATTTCTTTGTCTGTGCCTGTCAACCCTGGTCCCACATAGTAACAGACTTCATCACCGATCTCTCTGAATCTCAATGGTTTACCACCATCCTCAATGTGGTTGATAGATTTACACGTGGTGTAAGATTCATCCCCTTTCCAGCACTCCCTACTGCTTTTCAAACGGCAAAGACTTTATTCAATCAGGTTTTTCATTATTTTGGTATTCCAGAGGACATTCTGTCTGATAGAGGTCCTCAATTTACTTCCAAAGTCTGGTCAGTGTTTTTTGAACACGTAGAGGTCTACGTCAGCTTAACATCCGGCTATCATCCACAATCTAATGGACAGTCCGAAAGCATTAATCAGGAGTTAGGAAAATTCCTAGGATTGTTTTTGTTTCAATAACCCTTCAGATTGGTCAGGATTTCTCTTGTGGGCAGAGGTAGCCCAAAGTTCACTGATCAGCTCAGCTACAGGACTGACCCCTTTTCATACAAATACAAATCCACCAATGACATGCAGGAAGACAGAGATGGCATGTATCTTGGCTTGATGAGATGAGAGTCATGTATGATCTTTTCTTTAACCCCAGACGGTTAATGTACTGTTTCCAACCATAAGGTTGCAAACCTCACTATTGCTGCCATTGCATAGATAGCAGTAGAGGTACTCATGCTGCTAAAGGGGTTGTATTTTTGCAGTGATGTAATGTGAATAGTTAAATTCTCTCACTGCAGCACACATCAGTAACTCAAAGCTAGCATCTGCATCATTCATAAAACTGGCTATACTAATTAGCACTGGGGTTGGCACTGGTCGTCTTAGCGAGCCAGTCTTGAAGTATTTATCCAGAATTGCCGATCTCTATGAGATGAATCTAAGAATTTCTGAACACTCTCATCTCAAGTGAACATTTAGTTTAATCAAAAAGAGGTGGTTTCTGAAGATTTGGAGGCCCTAAGTACTCACCCCAAACATGTGCTTTTTTATGCAAGAATACACAATAAATTCATGCATAAATAAGAAAATCTATAGACTCGCAGTATATTGATTTATTTCAACAGTACAGGGCCTCCTGCTGGCTCAGGGGTTCTGTGCTGCTTATACCACATTTGTAAGAAAAAGGCAGCATAAACACAGGTATCAGAGTCACAATGCATTGTCAGAACCTCTTGCATTTAGAGCTCTGTTCATGAATACAGCAACACACCTCAAAGAATGCGATAAAAAGACGTGTTCTTTAGGGTTCAAACTTTATTGATTTAATTTGTGGGTAACACATATAGATTGGAATTTAATAGGTAAGGATAGGTCAAATCAAAAATTCAAAACTGTTGGTAGAACTCCTTCCTCTCCTTCTCAGGAGAGTGTACTCTTCTTTCGTTATGTTCCATTTACCCTGTGATCTGAAATAAAAATGAAAACACAACATAATTTAATCAGAAGAACTGACTGATTGCAGTCATTGCCAAAATTGGATAACTAATGTAAAATAATTGTTTTACAATAAACATCAACAATATCTATTATATACTTACACCCTGCACCCAGGAGAGGTAGGCAGACACGCGGGTAAAGACGGTGGGTTTCCTGATGGTGTTGCAACCAGCAGTGGACACAAAGCTGGTGAGTCCATGGACTACATACCTGCCACCAACCACACAGTTCAGGGGACCACCACCATCACCCTACAGTGAGACATCATGAGATTAGCACTTCTTTCACAGAAATACAACAGATAACTGTATTGAGAATAAGACATAGCTCTCACATTGCAACCAGCAGCAGTTCCTGCACCGCCAGCGCAGATCATGCTGGTTTTGACAGTAGCGCCCCACCAGGTGCTGCTACTGCAGGTAGCATAGTCGACTGAAGGCAGTGAAGCCTGTTTCAGCTGAGCAGAGAGATAACCACCAGCTAGGAGAAACAGAAAGGGAGGAAACCGGCTTAAACTCTAATCTGAGTATATAATCTGAGACTTCAAGTGGCAAAAAAACATAAGATCATGGCATCCATCAGCCAAGGCTTGCTATCATAAATGGAAGTAGAGATAACATGAATTTCAGTGTTTTTGTTAAGATATAGAGGTGTTGCTCACTCTGTGTGACTCCCCAGCCGGTGACATAGCAGGCTGTGTTGCCAGCGAGGACCTGGTCTACAGGAGGCAGAGAAGCCAGCTGCACGTAAGAGTTTAGGATGGCATCGGAGGCCAGACGGATCAGGGCAATGTCATACCTGATGTAAGAAGAAGAACATTGATCATTTACAGCTTAGTGTATTTAATTATAGTGTACTTAATCATCTACATAAACCTACACAGGTCTCCCATAACTTGTCAAATACCCTCACATAAATTCTCCAATGCCTTTTCAATACAATTGAAAACAAACCCTGATTTGGTATATAAGATTTTGTCATGGTTCTTTTGAGTCCAAAAAGTTTCCAGTGGAAATCATGAGAGATTATAGCAAAACCATGCAATATTGTTAAACGTCATTTCCTATAATGTGATTTCTCCTTTTGATATAATCAACACAGCTCAAATAAACAAGAAACAAACATACCCAGCAGCCAGATCGCGCTTCCAGCCAGGGTGGATGTAGATGGCACTGATTCCAATGTACTGCTCCTTGCCACTCTCAGGTAGAGTCAGATCATGATCACCAAGGACAACAACGGACACCCCAGTGCTAAATTAGAGAACAAAAAAGAAAGACACTGTTCAGTGTGTGAAATTTAAGACTATAGGTTAGCAGTGGTTGCAGGTGCTTGCTTACCCATCCACACACTGAGCGGCAGTCAGCACCCAGTTCTTTTTGATCAGCACTCCTCCACAGTAGTGGTTGTAGCATGTTCCACTCTGAACTCGCAGTGAGACCTGTGGTAATGAACATGAGAGATATGTTACTTGGAAGAGTATGTTTTTTAGCATCTGCAAGGCCTACATTTCATACATCATTGTATTTACCTGCCAGGGCCAAGCATTGGGAATGCTTACTGAACCACCAATCACTCTGTTCTGCCCTTGCCCCTGTCCGGCTTGATTAAAGGGGACGACAGACTGACCCAGCACTGCCATAATGGAGAAAACGCACAAAATCAGACAAATCAGCTTAAGACAAATAAACAATTCAATCAAGTTTAATAGACCTGCAGTTCAGATAAATAAATGCACAGTTCAGTCAGGACTTACCAAGTGCTGCCAAAGTGGTGAAGTAGAGGATTCTCAGCATCTTTGCAGATGTTCAGGATGATGTGCAGAGCAGAAAGTTTTGAAGCCTTTTATACAGTTAGGAATGGGGTGGGGTTGGATACACTTGACTACATTTGGCCAATGGTCATGGGACTTTAACATAGCAGGCAAAAAAATAAACAAAACAAAACATCACCCACTTTTTTTCCCTTAAGGAAATCAAAGTTAAAGTGTAGGTATTTGAGAAATGTCTTTGCCACTGTGCACGTATAATCAACTTTTGGGAACCTGTAGTCGTTAAGGCAGTTTGGGCAGTCGTTACAGATACTCAAGTGAAACCGGTTTTAACACCTGACTGGATCAAAGAACTCTGTCTTGTTTTGCCAAGTTTTTTCCAAAATTATACTTCTTCAGCTACAATGATACTAGTAGGGCTTAATCATAGTTAATATGAGTTTTGCTTGGAGAAACCACCTCAGTTACCTGTAATGGACATCTTCTGAAGCTCAATGGATGACTAAAGGAAATGTTAGGAAACCTGATCCCATGTCAGTTAAGGGGCAAAATATTTTATTTGATCACAGCAATTAAAAAATCAAGCTCAATAGAGTCACAACATTACACACATAGAGAAAAAACAGTGTCCTAGATCATCTGGTAACAGAGTTATGGAGTAAAATATTTTATTTGACATAGCAATAAAAAAAATGTGAGTCATTTCCGGGCATCCATGGAACCTTATCGCATGCTCTAAAAGCAGCAAGGCTGCCTCCCAGGCTGATGGTCGTCTGGGTACTGCAATAAATTTGCAGGCCTTGGAAATCTGGTCGACCACAACCATATTCACCATGTTGCCCTGTGACATGGGCAACCTGATGACGAAATCCAGGAAGATGTGGGACCAGGGTCGAAATGGTATGGAAAGGGGATAGAGCAAGTCTGCTGGTCATGTATTAGTTTCCTTGCTCTGAGTGCATACCCGGCAGGCCGCTATGTAAGCACTTACATCCTTCTCCATCCTAGGCCACCAGAATCGGCTCTGTAGGAACTCAAGAATTTTAGCTTGGACACAGGACGGAATGTACTGCTGACCTGGGGGTCCTACCCCTGGATTTGGATCAGTCAGATGCCCCCTGGATGTCAGTCTCCAGCTCCCAGTGCAATTGGGCAATGATTCAGGTCCCAGGAATATTGGGTTCTGGAGGCTGGTCAGTGGGTGGCTTGTCCCACTATCTGGAGAGCATGTTGGGCTTGAGATTTTTTGACCCCCTCGATATGATAGCAGGAACCACCTGGCAAGGGGTGGTGGTCTTTGACAATAATTTTATTGAGGCCTCGATAATCAATACAGAATTGTTTCCCACAAAGAAAAACCCATTCCCTAAAGGTGAGGTGGATGGCTGGATGAAGTCCAAGGCCAATGCCACCATAAGTCCTGTGAGAAGGCAGGACTTGGGCTTGGTGTTTACTAAAGACCTCCAATAGATCATATCAGTTAGGTCAGGCCTGACAAATAAAGCCATGATCTGAGTTTGACATCTTGGTGGATCTTTCAATGAATGACCCCTTGCACTGCGGGTCCCAGCCTGCCACAGACCAGGTCAGCCAATCCAGGTGAAGACTGTTTCATTGCAGCCAGGGAAAACCTAATACTAGCTGCAAATCTGACGCCTGGGTGAGCAGCATGGAAATCTGCCTGGTGTGCTGGCCTATCCGCAGGGTGATCTATTGTTTAACCACCCCTGCCTCGAGAGAGCGCTTGTCAATGGCAACATCAATGGTCTTGCTCTGTCAATGGTCTTCTAGGTCAACTAGGGGCAGGTTTAAGGTTGTGGCCAAGGTGGCATCCACAAAGTTACGTCCCAACTTCATTGGCAGCTGGACTGGTACAGAGGAAGCAGGGGGTTATTGAGGCCCTGGGGCCCTTGAAGGAGTGGTCTTGTACAAAAAGGGCAACTGGACCATGTTCTCTACAGCACTTTCACAGCTGGATATCCAGCTTAAAGGCCTGCTGCATCAATTTCTCGAGAGAAGTGGGAGCCTCTTGAGTGGCCAGCTCATTCTTCGCCTCACCACTGAGACCCTGCTGGAAGGCAGCCATTAGCACCTTCACATTCCAACCAGACTGCGGAAATCAATAGCATAATCCACCACTGAACGCTTGCCCTAGTGTGTTCGCAAGAGACGTGAGCCAGCCACTCATCCACAGACCATGTGGTCGAATGTATTGCATGAACAGTTTTGTAGAAGTGCATGTGGTCGGCTCACTCTCCTACGCTGGGGTGACCCATGAGAGGGCTCAATTGGTGAGTAGTGATGTTATGAATGCTACTTTGGAGGGTTCAGTGGGGTACCTCCAGGGTTGCTGCTCGAAAGCAAGCTGGCACTGCAACAGGAACCCTCTACAACATCCTGGATCCCCATCATACTTCTCTGGAGAAGGCAGGAGAGGATCTGCCCATAGACTGGGCAAGCTTGGGGGAGGGGACTCATGAGGTGGAGCCACAGTGGGCAGGGCTGGGGATTCAGCCTGTCAGGCCTCTGCAATGAGCCCTGCTAGGCCCTGCAGCTGGGTTGCTGAAATGCAACATGATATTACTGAAATGCATGTACAGTATGCAATATTTAATATCTACCATTGTCCTGTCCATCCATTTGAATGTGGGTGGAGGGATTCAAACCTTTGCATATGACTGTATTTAGACAATGGGATTTCTGACAACAATGCAAGACCTGTTTGGTCATCAAAAGTGTCCCCATCAGATAAAACCTTTTATCTTTGAGAGAGAGGAGAGAATCAAGCTCTATTTATAACTTGTACTGAATGACTGTTTTATTGGAAATTTAATAAATGAGAGGTGCTCTCTGAGTTTTTCATGACATTGCATACTTGCATACAGCTTACAGTATTTCTCCCTGCAATGTAAACTGTAAATGTTTATTTTGAAACAACAATAAAATTCACGAAGTAAATGATTAAATAATGTACTGATGTATTGTTCTCAATGTTCTACAGGTCAAAATAAATAAAAAATGAGCATTTTCAGATTTAATTTTAATTGAACATACCGTCCCAGTATACTCTCATTTGGTGCTGTATAAACAATGGAACGATTATAAATAAATAAATGAATAAATAGATTAATAAATAAACAAAACAAAACAAATCATGTTATTTAATTGGACCTGATGAGTCCCATGAGTAACTCCTTTCTCAAATCTTATCAAATTCTGATGGATCATTCACTTTATATTCACTTTTCATTTTGCTATTCATTTACATAGCTTGCATGTGAGAGAACTTTCTGCAGTGTGCATGAGCAGGTTTCTCAGACATTAAAGCTTTTGCCAGGAAAGATGATTAGAAAACAATGGCATGATTCTGTGACAAGGGCCATAAACCATGTGCAGAGTCAAATGGCAATTGTCATGCTGGGTCTGCTCAGAAACGAGCAGGAACTAAATCATGATAAAGTCTTACGTGAAATACACAAAGCCTGTTAGTCAAGAAAACTTCACTGAACAAGTTTTTTCACCTCCAAACATGGAGGTACTGAGGACAAGCCAAGGCTTATGTTCTATGTGGTTTATCCAAATTAAATTATAATCCTTATATTTACATGAAATGAGATTAATATGCCATTAAAATTCCACATGTTGTAGAACGTAGTTGTAAGAAAGGGGGTTCTTTGGAGTGATGCAATAAGAACCACTTTTGGTTATCTAAAGCAGGGGTTCCCAACCACTGGTCCAAAGACCGGTACAGGCCCATAGATTATTGGATACAACAATGCACCAGCAAGCAGGAGGAGTTGGTAGCCTGACTGCTAGAACCCAATGTTTCAGTATTATCACCAATAATATTATTATGGCAGTATTCTTAATCATAGACTGAATTCTTCCCATTAAATTTTAGGGCATTTTGAACATATCGAACATGACATTTTGGCATACATCATGTTTAATTTTGACCCCATGATTGCGCGTAGGTTGCTGCTTTCAGCTCACGGCTAATGTAATTGAAGAAGAAACAAAGTTTAAATGAAATATACTATCTCAGCACCCTTGAAGTTTCACTTTTTTTGGGGGTGCTTTCTACAATAGAAGCCTGTACAACACAACAGGTTTAGTGAGACATGATGGTGCAAGGCATGCATAGGCTAATCCAGGCACGTCCAGTCTTACTTGCAAAGGTTTTCATTCCAAACAAGCAGGAGCTCAGGAGCTCACCTGATTCTACTTCTTTAATCAACTGGTCAGCCTTCAAACAGCTGATCATGTGAGCTCCTGCTTGGTTGGAATGAAAACCTGCAGTGACGCTGGCCCTTTGTGGATAAGACTGGACACCCCCGGGCTAATCATATTTGTTGTTGCATCATAGAAAACCGGTTTGTGAAAAGTGCTGTTAAAAATGTTTAGAATCTTTGGCCTAAAGAATATTTCAATGGATGTTTCTTTTGTAAATGAGATGTGTGAGTATGAAGAACCTTTATGATCTCTTAAAAGGCCAGTACACACATGTAGGTCCAAACTTTTATTACATGCATCTATGATTTAAGAACAGGTTTCCTAGTTTGCTTCATTATTCAATGTATTTACTTTGTAAATGACTGAGTTATGAGCTTTAGCATGTAATAAGCCTGGAATAAAGCTAAGAAGCATTTAGAAAGCTTCATTTTTGATCATGGTTAATCCTGTGCATGTGGTTTAGTTCTCAGATTGTTGTGATTGTTTACAGCTTGCATTACTTGTAATGATGTCATATGCCTCTTGTGTGGGTTTCTCATCAAAGCAGGGGTCCTGAGCATTAAGTGAGAATTTTTATACTGGGCTGTCAAGACTAAATTTAGGAGAAACCATGTTATGTATGACATAGGTGCAGCAAAATATTGTACATATGTTTAAAATGTATTTTAAATGATACAGAGGGTGTGTGGTTGAAATGCAAATCAACCTCTTTTACAACCTCTTAAATTTGTCTTCTGAGTGCTATTTTTGTATTTAGCATCATTTTGCTTGGAAATTTTATTTATGAAAATCACTTTACACAGCAGAAAAGGTTCT